TCATGTCTAAGAACGAGAGAGCACAGCCCCAGCTCCATGTGCCGTGATCATGAGCATACCCTGCATGTGTCAGGACTACATGTGCCTACTTTGCTGTTCTTAAAATCTAGAACGTGTGTTTTTTTTTTGTCTTTTTGAGACAGGGTCTCCCTGCAGCCCCAGCTGTCCTGGAACTCACTATGTAGACCAGGCTGGCCTTGAACTCACAGAGATCTACCTGCTGCTGCCTCCCGAGTGCTGGGACTAAAGGCATGCGTCACCACGCCCGGCTTGAACTACTTTTTGACTAAGGTAGGGAGATGTTGCATTTCTCCCTCTGAATCCACAGGCTGCTGTACTGTTCTGTAACAGGCTATCACTGTGGCCACCAGGCATACCTGTGGCTTTCTTCCCGTGAAGCACGTACTCTGGGAATGTGGCTGAAGCTGAGCCCCTCCTTGGGGCCAGGCCCTACCCCGGGAACTCCAGCTGCGCCTCAGAAAGGGCAAGCTGAGCCGGCACCCTTGCCGTGCAGCCCTCATTCTCTCACAAAGGACAGAAAATAAAGGCTGACCTGGTGGTGGCTGGTGTGGAGATGAGCAAGGAAGAGCAGTTAGAAAGCATGAGGCTGGTCCTAGTGAGCCCAGAGAAGCTGCACCTGGAGTTGTGATTTTTGTCTCTAGTCCTGAGTGAGGCTGGCCTTGTCCAGTTTATGATTTGAAGCTCTCCTGCCATGGGGCCAGCAGGGGGCGCTGAAACCCCAGGAACACTTACAAGTGTGAGGAAAGGGAAGTAGGGAAGCAGCTGGTCTTGAGCAGGTGTGAGTGGTGTGTACATAAACGCACAGAGAAGTGAGCTATCAGCAGGTCAGCGGCTGCCTGTGGCTGGGGGTCTGGACATCACACTGCTGGCCCTGGGACAGGAATCAAGGTGTCCAGCTACAGGACTAGCTGGAGCCTGGCCTCAGGTGTGTTTTCTGTCTGTGAAGTTCAGAGTGTGGATTGTGTTGTCCAGAACAGAAAGGGAGTGTTTTCTGCCCACTCCTAGGACTCTGCTGTGTTAAGTCAGGGTCGCTCATAGGTTACATCCTCGGATAGCTCCTCTCTTGGGGAGGCCTACAGGAGCCTTGTGGACTGGCCCTGGTTAAGCCCTGTTTTTTTTTAGCCTGAGCTGTAATGTAGAGAGTGGCTGGCTCTGGACTGCATTAAGATGGATGGATGCCAGAATCACAGTCAGCAGGGGTGCTCTGAAATCAGATGTCTGGTGTACCGGATCCTGCTTATCGATCAAGCTTCAAAAGCAGCTCTTACGCCCCAGGAAGCTCTACTAAGTGGTACAGTGCTGAAGGCTGGACTGGATTCCAAGGCCTGGCTGGGCTTTTCCCTGAGACTGCCCAAATTGTGTGGGCCACTGCCCCTCCCTGAGTTCCCAGTCACCCTTCCCAGCTAACTTGGAACATAGAGCTGGACTCCAAGGGAGCTGTAACTACTGCATAGCACCTGGTCAGCAGCTGGGGGACACCCAGGGGACGGGGCTCTTGAGCCCCAGCCTCCCCCCAAAATTAGTTCCTGCTTGGTTGTATTCGCTAACAAGCCCCATATCTGCGATCAGCCGCACCGAATGCTGTTGTAGTGTGTTCTCTCTTACTGTGGTGCTGAAGTACAAGTGTCACTGTGAGCTTAGCACACTTGCTTGCCGTAGTTACACTCACTGCCCAGGCTGTCACCATGGGCCAGGTGTACGCCCTGGCTTTAGCCTTATTCCCATGATTCCCTCAAGCTGAGCAGCTCTGGAGCTGGCGCCTGGGGGGGTCTTTGGAGGAGAAGGTGAGTGCCAAACAGTAGTGTTTGAGCAGCCCTCAAGGCTAGGCTGGGCCAGCAGTTATATAGACAGTGGCCAGTGGCCAGTGACTGCCTGCAGAGCCAACGGCTCGCAAGCACATACATCAGGATGCGTGCGAGCTCAGCAGAGAGAGGCTGGAGACCTTCAGCCAGGTGGGGTGGAGAGATCAGGGGATTGGCATCACCGTGTGCAGAGGCGCTTTACTGTCTCAGGAAGGAATTTGTAGATCCCTCTGGCCTGTGCTCTATGGAAAAGACAGTTTCTGTTCAAGAATGGAGAGTGAGACTGCCCTGAGGTAGGAGGTTCTGGCCCCAGGGGGAACTGGGTTTGTTTTCTGGATCCCATAGACTGTGAGATTGGGATGCTCTACACCCTTGACCATGACTGCAGTTCCTTGGCAACTGATACTAACTTGTCATTTACTGCCTTTCTCAATGTACCTGGATGGGCAGAGCTGGCTTTCCCTCCTGTCCTCAGGAAGCAGAGCAGGCAGGGATCAGGGGGGGTTTTGTCAGTTCAGGTCTATCTTGAGCACTTTGTGATGTGAACTCATCTTCCAAGGACGATCACACTGTGCAGCTCTTTCAGGAAGCTTCTGTCTCCTGGCATTGACAGAGTTAATGCTTCTTATTTTCTGGGTTATTTTTTGTTATTGTTGTTAAACTCAGAAAGCTGAAGGTTGAAATAAATCATTCAAAGTCATGGATGAAATGTTGCCTTTCCTGTTCAGTCTCCATGGAATTGGTAAGTGATAGTTCCCATTGAAAATAACTGATGGGACTGGAGAGATGGCTCAGCGGTTAAGAACACAAGACTGTTCTTGCAGAAGACCTGGGTTCGAATCTCAGCACCCACATGGCAGCTAACAACTGTCCGTAACTCCAGTTCCAGCCCTCTTCTGTCCTCCTCAGGCACTGCACGACACAGGTGCACTTACCTACATGCAGGCATAACACTCATACATAAAAGTGATGAATAAAATATTAAAAAAAGAAGAAAAAGAAAACTGATACAAAATGACCAACAGATGTCTTTATCTTCAGTCAACAGCATTTAGGAGAGCCGCTTCTCTGGGCCTGCAGGGGATGATGGGAGCACCGGGGCTTGTCAGTGTCCCCAGGTCTGTGTTCTCATTGGTATCTAGAGCTCAGCTTTGATGCTGGAGCAGAAGTCCTTCCTCTCCTGCTCACTCAATGTTCTCGCCAAGGGCTTGTCTCCCCACTGGGCTAGAAGAGCATTTAGGGAGAGTTTTTCTTGTGGCTTCCCCAAAAGGTCATTTCTGCCATCAGCTGGAGATATGGGAGTGCATCTGGCCCCTGTAGATGTGCCGGGTCAGAGAGTGGTCCTGGGAGGCTGGCTCTGTTGCCCCACCAAGGCCAGTGCCCACACAGAGAAGGGCTTCCTGGGCCTGCAGACCAAACATACCTCTTGAGGCCTTTGCAGTGTGAATTAAACTTCTACCTGAATCTTTGGCCGTTGGTGGCCAGAGCCTGGCCTCTGCTCCTACCATGCTGCTGCTAGGGGCCCAGGAGCCTTGAAAACAAGGCCTGGGGCAGCCTTGATACAGGGCAGGCCATGAGGGCACAGTGGGGGTCACCAGGGCCCTGATGAATTCCCAAGGTCCACATCCCGTGGCAGCCTCAGTGCCAGTCTGTGTCACCAGTTTGCTAGGCTTCCCACTGGTTGAGGAGCGGATGCTGTGGCATACCTGTTTTAGTTCCCTGGAGACTACTGTTTATCATCCAGATAACTGTTCCCTGAATTTTCCCCTCATAGTAAGAAGGACGTAGTGTGCTGGACCCTAGCTAGGAAGCTGGGCCTCAGACCTTTAGGAAAAGGGTAAAGAGCCTCAGACATTCATGAGGCAGGCACAGTAGGCCCCATGGGCATCCCTTGAGTGCCAGACCAGCTAGGAGTGTGGCCGCAGACGGGCTTTTCTGACACTTCAGTGCTGGTTCTTCTACCACATGGAAATATGTCTTCAATAATTGTGTTGGACCTGGGAACATCTCTCGCCTCTTTGGAGCTGATTGTATTTATTTTTAGTCACTAAAATAAAATTTTTTGAGTTCTGCCTCTGAGCCATCAAGGTAGGGGATCACTGAGGGTCACTATGACTGAGTAGGAGGCCCCTTTGCCGGTCCCTCTTCAGAACAGTGGAACCAAGAATTTTACTGCCCATCAGGAAGCTTGAGGCCAGGCCACGGCAGAAATAGCAGCACCTGTGCAGTGAAATAGCAGCACTGACACTGGAAAGGTGGCTCAGCAGGTGTCTAAGTGGCATGAGAAGGGATTTGTAGCACTGCAGAATTTAAGATCAACTGTAGGGTCCTTCAGGGGCAGAAGGCCCCTGGAAAGTAAGTTGTGGGTTCTGCAGCTCTGGGGACACTGATGGGCACCCCGCCTCAGGCATGAGGTGAAGCTCTGTGTCACTGTATCTAGCCTACCTCGCCAGCTCTAGGTGTGTCCAGCCACTGTGGGGCATTCATCTAGGTGATGTGGTGGCAGGTCATCCATTCCTGTGTGGCCCGTGTCCCCTGCCTACTCTTTGGAGTCCCGCAGGAGCACTCACCTAGAGAATGATGAGCACAAGGACTGCTCCCAAGTTAGACAGTATTTCTTTCTCCTCTTGCCACAGTGGTCAAGGAACTTGACCTCAGTGCAGCCTGATGGTGCACAACTAATCCAGCACTTGAGAGGCTGAGACGGAAAGATGTGAGTTTGAGGGTAGCCTGGCTATGTAGTGAAACCCTATCAGAGAGAGAGGAGAGGGAGAGAGACAGAGGGACACAGAAACAGGAGTCATGGTGATCCCAGAACCTGTGGTGGTCCCAGAACGTGCTGGGAGCTATGGAAATTCTTCCCAGGAAGCAGAGAGAAAACAAGGCAGGTAGGAAGGACAGTGTTCTGAGGGGGTCTTCCAAGAGGGCAGCACCACTGCACCCAGGGAGACCGCTCACCTGCCAGCAAAGATGCCGGCCACTAGGGGCTGAAAATGTAGCCAGGCCTGCTGGAGCCGCAGCAGCAATCAAAGAAGGGCTAGCGTGGGGGACGGGCTCAAGGCTGGGTTTTCAGGAGCTCCAGGCAAAAGAGGAGCCTCAGCAGATAGGACTCATGTGTGACAGGAGTAGGGACAAGCCCCGACACAGCTTCTGAGAGGGAGTTCTCTCTTTGTCCAGGTGGTGCTCTGGGTTGGCCTGGGTGTTCTGGTGGTCAGCACGCTCACCACCCTGTCTGTGAGTGAAGAAGCCCCCATGGACTTGACACAGGAAGCTCGCAGCGGCCGGCAAGGAGAGGCTGAGGGCAGGATGAAAGCAGAGGTGGCCCGGCTGTCAGGTACACATGCAGGCCCTGTCCCAGCCCTGTGAACCTTCTTGTGAGTGTTCACAGCATCACCTCATGGCATGGGGTAGTGCTTTCCAAGTATCCCCTTAGTTCTGCTTCAACAATCTTCAACAATTTTGGTCGTCTGTCAGTAGCCTCTACCCTCTGGGTGATGGAGCTAGTAGGAGGTCCCAGGCTTGGAACCCACTAAGCCCACCCATGAAGATGTGTTCTCTACATGGAATGTGCCACCACCTCTGTGCAGGTGAAACAGGGCCAGCCTGGGCTCAGATCTCAGTGTTTGGTCATTTCAGACACCACAGGTATGTAAATTTATGAGTGTTGCCTACGTTTGTTTGAGAATATAAATTTGAGCCAGTTTTCTCGTTGACAAAGCCAGCTGTTATGCCTCAGATTTGTTTACTCTGTCATGTTTTTACTTTACCAGTCCCTTTGGCAGAATTGTTGGCCATACTTCCTCACATAGCTACAGACTACCTCAGTGAGAGTCTTGGTGGTACCCTCTCACCCTTTTTTGTGACCAAATCACAGAGGGGTAGTACAGGATGTGTGTCACTTTCTGGGTATGTCTGTTTGGGATGCTTGATGCACCCCAGGCCTTCTGTGTGTAGCTGGGAAGGATAACATGGGGCTGGCCTGAGCCATCAGACCAAGGCCCCAGGTCTGCTTGGTAGTTGGGAGCAGCACCGGGTATGGGCTGTGGTGATGGGTACTATGCAGTAGCAGCAATCCTCAGCGTCTGTCTCTGGCAATGGTGGGGTATTGTGTGTTAGACTAAAAGTCAGTGTGTACTTGTGTGTGTTCTCTCACCTCTTGGAGAGGTTTGAGTCCAGGTTTACCAGATGTCTGTCCAGCTGTAGCTCTGGGGAAGCCTGGGTGGAGAAGAACACCATCTTCACTGGTGGAACTCAGGTTGCCGTGGAGGTGCTGGCTATCGACGCCTGCCCAGAGGCACCATCTATAGTGTACAGAAGAGAAGGTCCCATTGAAGGGAGCCCTGGCCACTTGGTGCACTTGTTGGATGCTCCTGACTTGTCACCGCTGACACAGGCACTCTCACATTTTGGCCATTTTTGTTGGGGCTCCACACCCCATGCCATCACCTTGGCAACTGTCCTGAGGGCTGCTCCTGGGCCGGTGTCTTCAGAATACCCTGGGCTTGCAGTAGCTGTGGATGCTGTCTTTGGTCCTCCTGGTTGGCAAAGGCAGACAAGACGAGGCCTCCTGTCCTAGCCCCCAGGAATCAGGAGACTGAGAAGCAGGTGAGGGCACTGCTGGGGTTTGAAGAGAAGGAGGATGAAGTGTTGGAAAGCGCAGGCAGCACAGGCTGTCTGGCAGTGGATTTGACTAGGAAGAAGCCTGCCTGAGGAAAGAGTGGCTGTTGTATGCCCACCCCAGCTCACGGCCTTGGCTCAGTCCCTCCTAGAGAATCAGTCTGATGCCTCTGCCTGGACCACCAGGCACAGAGCAGGTGCTGCCATGGGAGCTGCAGCACGAGGGGGAGGAGAGGTGTGGTGGTGAACCTCATGGTGGGCAGCAGGGGCATCATGGCCTGTGTGCTTTGAGGCCACCCAGCAGAACCCCATGTGGTTGTACCTCAGCAGGTCGGCCTGTCTGGTCATGAGTTTCTCAGTCACTCCATGCCCAGGCTCCTGTCCTTGTGGCACAGTGCAGCCTCTATTCAGGGCCGGCAGCTGCGTCCTGTTTCTACAGCATGTACAGGCCGCCTGCTCACCTGTGCCCTCTGAGGCCACATCTGGTTCCCATTTCTTCCACGAGGCTGTAACAACACACATGGCTCCTCTCAGAACCACATGCTGTTTTTAGCTAGTTCTGTTTTGTAGCCCCCCAGCCTCCCACTTAATTGAGGGCTTACCTCATCGGGGCAGGGCCGGGACTGCGGGGTTTTCAGCGGGTATGCCCTGTCGGCTGCACCGTCAGGGTGTGAGCCTCGTTTATCTATCTCTTTGATGTTGTGGGGTCAGACTGAACCTGCCTGGTCCAATGAGAGCCTGCCCTCACGTGGGACACATGTGACCGTCAAATGCAATCCAGGGCCCCACGCTTGGCCTCATGGGCCTTCAGTGAGCATGGCCAAGTCCCTGTGAAAGCTCATGAAGACAATTATCCTTTTAAAAAAAGGCTAATTAGGCCATTTATCTCCGTGCCTGATGGTTCCCCAGACGGTCTTGGGGACAAATTTGGATTTTGTGTTCTGGCTCCTCTGATGATGCTGCTCCCCCTTGCCCCTCGCTCCTTGCTTGCGCACCATGGGGTAGCGTAACCTGGACTCACCCTGGTCCTCGTAACTGTCTGACTCTGGCTGCCCGGATGGGGCAGCTGTCCCGCTTAGTGGGAAATAGAAGCAAGGCATGACTAGAAGGTGGACCTGGAATTAAGTGACCTGTGATGGAGCTGGGAGCTGCTAGGCAGCCACGGGGTGCTGTGGGTGCTGGGTGAAGGTGACTGCAGGTCCCAGTCGTGCGCACAGCTGTAGTCTGGAGTCCTGTACCTCTGGCAGGTAGACCCTTCCTCTGCTCCTTTGTCACCCCTTGCTCCCTAGGACTTGCCACTGTCTGTCCTGGTCACCCGTCTTGTGGAAGTGGGAGAGGCCCCAGCCCCTTTGGTGTCAGGGTGCAGCCAGGAGCGGCCTCACTACCACGTGCCCCTCCCTCTCCCGTCTGCTGGGTGGCGGTGAGATTCTGTTACCACTCCCTGTGCCCTGATTAAGTTGTAAAAAGCTCCTGTTGTGATTTTGTTCAGTTTTTCTGCTGGTGTGCCAAGAGGCAGCCACGGACTCATTTCGCTGGCTTCACCTGAGGTAACGGTGCTGGCCTCGTAGGGCTCGCTGGTAGAAGGTGCTCCCTCTGGCCAGTTGCTGTCACACCTGTGTAATCTGGGGCCCTGAACTGCTCATGAGGAGCAGGGCGGGCTTCCCCTTGATGCCTCCCGCGTGCTGTGTGGCAGTTTGAGGAGCATTGAACATGATGAGCAGGGAAGGCCTCCAGCCCAGTCTTCAGTTTCCAGGAGCTAATGGTCTGAGCCACATTTGGAAAGGGGAACAAAGGAGCCATCCAGCAGCTGGGCCAGAAAAGGGGCTTCAGATCAAGGCCTCAGTGCCGCTTTCCTCTTGGAAGCCTGGAGAGCAGAGCAGAGCTACCTGGTCATTAGGAAAGCCCCCTGGAGCAGGGGTTGCTAGGCCCTAAAGGTGGCGCTGGCCCCCACTGCTGGCGGCTCATCGTAGGACTCGTTTCAGCAGCACCCTGTCAGATGCTGGCAGCCGGAGGTGGCCTTTCAGTCTTTGCTGACCACAAGCTGCTCAGGAGTAGCAGGCAAGGCCACTGGCCAGCAGAACTGCCCTGGGATCTACAGCCCAGCTCTCAAGCCTGGACATCAGGGGCAGTGGCAGAACTTATCTCCAAGGTGTCGGGGGGTGATCACCAGCAGCAAGTCTGGCTCTAGAGGCAAGGCCTCTGCAGGCCTTTGACCCCTCTTCTCACCAGATGAGAAGGGAAAGAGCAAGACCGCTGTCCCTCAAGAAGCGCCGGAGGGGAGCACGTCACTCGCACCACAGTGGTGCATCCCTGTATGGAAGGAGCTGAGAACCTGTGCTGGCCTGGCAGCAAACACCTTCCAGAGGAGGCCCAAACATGGGGCTTTCCTGGCTCCACACCACTGCTGCCAGCAGGCCATCATTTTAGGTGACTAGCTCTGATAGCCTAGAGTGTATGGGGGTCTGAGGTGGCCAGGATACTACTCACCCGTTGAGTATTGACGTTCTTCCTTGGAGCCAAACCGAGCCTTCAGCTCCTGGTTGTCACTCGGCCTGTGGGCAGGTGAGCTGTCACCACAGTACTGCTTCCTGTTTGTACCCCATGGATACCTTGAAATCGGAAGCAGGCAGAGTAGGGGTCTTCAGAGCTGCCAGCTTTGAAATTTTATGTTTTGCTGTGACTGGACAGCATTGCCAGTCCGCTGTCCCTGGTGAAAAGTCTGTTTCTAGCTTGGAAAAGGCTGTGTCCACTGTCCACCAGCAGCTATGAATTGCTGGGTCTCTGCTGCTGATAGTGGGGGCCAGGAAGCCTTCACAGCCTCTGCCCACTTCAGAACACAGGCTGCACAGCACTCCCAGGAGGCCTCCCAGAGGAGCTTCCCCAGGGCCCCAGACAGCGAGTGGCAGACTGCCTCCTTGTCTGAGGATGAAGGAGCCATTTTATGTGTATGAGTGTTGGCCTGCATGTGTGTAAGTGTGCCAATGTGCATATCTGGTGCCCCTGCAAACCAGAAAAGGGTGTCAGATCCCCTGGAACTGAGTTAGACCATGTGAGCCACAATGTGGGTACTGGAAACCAGACCCAGGTCCTCTGCAAGAGCAGCAAATGCTTCTAACCCTGAGCCATCTCTCTAGCCTCCTTTGTTTTTTTTTGAGATCTCATGTAGCCCAGAGTAGCCTCAGACTTGCTGTGTAGCTGAGGATGACCTTGACCATTTGTTTCTTTGAAATAGGGTCTCCCTGTAGCCCCAGCTGGCTAGAACTCCCTATGTAGACAGGTAGACAGGCTGGCCTCCATCTCAAAGAAATCCACCTGCCTCTGCCTCCTATGTACCACCATGTGTGGCAGTCTTGAACTTTTTTTTTTTTTTTTTGGTCTTTTTTGAGACAGGGTCTCTCTGTAGCCCCAGCTGTCCTGAAACTCACTCTGTAGACCAGGCTGGCCTTGAACTCACAGAGATCTACCTGCCTCTGCCTCCCAAGTGCTGGGATTAAAGGTGTGCACCACCATGCCCGGCTGGCAGTCTTGAAATTCTAATCTTCCTGCCTCCACCTCCATTGCAAGGATGACAGGTGTATGCCATCATACCCAGTTTATGCCCTGCTGTGTGGGGCTCAGTGCTTGCCAGGGCTCATGCATGGTAGACAGGCACTGTACCAACTGAGCTAGATCTCTAGCTCTCAAAAGCAGTCATTCCCAGTGCAGCAGTCTCCATGTGGCCCCACTGACCCAGCTCTGTGAGTGTGCTGGTGTGTCCTCCTTGTGTGTGGCTCCGGTGGACGTGGACCCTTGCATTTGCAGGCATGTGAACAGCAGCTTTGGTGGCCTCTCCTTTTGTTCTCACCCTTGTGTGGCTTTCCCCTCCCAGAAGCCAGGTTGATGGACCTGCCCAGGAACAGCTTTCAGATTCTTTGCCTTTTCGCCCAAGCCATGGGGCAGACTGGGTGAGCCCTGCAAGGGGACCTGGGAACTCTGCCTGGCTGTGGGCTCATGCTGCCACCTGGTGGTTGTGGTCAGGAATTACACAGGGTGGTCACCTGCCACCCTGTGTATTAGGTATAAATTAATTTTAGTATATCTTGTTATGAATATTCATGAAAAAGTAACAGTTTTCTGTGATGTTTAGCTTCTAATAATGATTGAGCAGTAAAAAATAAAAACCCACTTTAGGCTCCACCATTCGGCTGTAATATATAGTTGGTCCTGATTCGGGAAGCGTGGTCTAACCCCGTGCTGAGTGAACGGAGAGCTCCACTCACTGTGCTGTGCTTGCAGTTCAGGATCCTGTTGTGGATGTGGCTGAGGACAGCCGGGAGAGGCCAAAGCCACCAGAGGAAAAAGGGGAACTGGAGCAGGCCCAGATCAAGGGTCCTGTGGATGTGCCTGGAGGGGAGGTCGCCAAGGAGAAGCAGGAGGCTGCACAACTTGATCGCCCTGGTCAAGGTGGGTGGCACTGGCTGTCTAGCCCTGGGGAGGATTGCTCAGGGTTCGGGGGGGGGTGTCTTCCCTGCGCCCACCCCTAAGATCTGCCTTTTCACTTGGCCAAGACAACTGTCTACCACACTGTTCCTGTTAAAATATGGGCTGGGCGTGGTGGTGCACGCCTTTAATCCCAGCACTTGGGAGGCAAAGGCAGGCGAATCTCTGAGATCTATTGTAGACCAGCCTGGTCTACATAGTGAGTTCAGGACAGCTGGGGCTAACCGGAGACCCTGTCTCAAAAAAGACAAACAACAACAACAACAACAACAACAAAAAAAACGTTAAAATTCTAGGAATCAAATCAGTTCTCAGTGCACTTCAGAGTGGGGGGACCTGGGGAGTGGTCCATGTTGACCCACATCACACTGTTGGGAGCCAGAGGCCAATTCAGATTTCTCAGGGCCTCTCCTCAGCCTGATTCTTCAACCTGTCTTCATGTCCTCCCAGGCATTGCTGTGCCTATGGGTGAGGCCCACCGCCATGAGCCTCCCATTCCTCATGACAAAGTGGTGGTGGATGAAGGTCAAGACCAAGAAGTGCCAGAAGAGAAAAAATCACCTCCCAGACACACAGATGGAGGAGATCCTGAGGGAAAGGGGCAGGTGGTACCACCTCCACCTGAGCCGGAGAAGGAGAAACAGGAGCTTGAGAGGGGAGAGGCAGGAAAGAGACCTGAGCAAGCCCCAGCTCTGGAGGACACTGGTGAACATCCCCAGAAGGTTCCAGAAGCAAATCGTCAGCCACCTGTTCAGCCTGGGAAGGAAGACTCCAGACCAAGTGACAGGGATCTACATCCAGGGCCCCAGGCAGTGATGTCTGTGGAGAGGAATGCCCTGGCAGTGGGTGAGGGGGAGGAGGCCGCACCGAGGGCTGCAGGGGTTCCAATGAAGCCCATGGAGAGCTACCCAGAGAAGGACCTAGGTGAGTGTCAGCTGAGGTCCATCAGGAAACGCCTGTTGGTGGGCACAACAGGGGAGGGGCAAGAGGACTGGACTACTACTGTCCCCAGCTCTCACTTCACAAAATTAGCATGTGAATGCCGCAGCCCCTTTAGCAGCTGGTGGGGAGAAGGAAGAGTCTGGTGGCTTGACAGCTACTATAATATCTGTCACACAGTTGTTTGCCAGACCACTAAATGTCAGGTGCCACGCTGTTCTCATGCGTCTGGGCGCACACAGGGAATGGCGCGGGAACGCTTGACAGGTAACACATTGTTAAGTGCCCGACTAAGAGCTGGTTAGGACGGTGCTTGCATTTTAATTGGCGAAGGTAGTTAACATTGGCTTGCTGCCACAAGCCTGTGAGATTGTTAAATATTTTTTTATTACTTCCCTGGTAATCATCAGGTTGAATATAAACTGTGCTGACTGGGGAGGGAGGGGCCGCAATGGAGAGTCATTTTAGGAAACATCTGCCACCCCCCACTCCACCCTAGACTTCTCACCAAACCGTCTGAATCTCACGTGTGCAGGTGGGAAGGTGGTCCTTCCAGCACAGAGGCCAGAGGCTGCAGAGCAGAGGGAGGCTGAGCAGCCAGTTGAAGACCAGGCGGGCAGCAAACTGGAGGGTGAGGCTGGCCACGGCCCCTCTGGGAGCCCAGGGTGAGGGTGGGCAGGTGCTCCTGGATCCCTGACCCTACACTTTCTGCTGAGAAGCACCTTCAGTGACCCCTCTGTGTCCCACCAGCAGCTTTCCTCTGGCTGCTCTCTGGGATCTTTTTTTTTGGGGGGGGGGTCTTTTTGAGACAGGGTCTCCTGTACCCCAGCTCACCCAGAACTCACTATGTAGACCAGGCTGGCCTTGAATTCACAAAGATCCGCCTGCCTCTGCCACCTGAGTGTGCTGGGATTAAAGGCATGCACCACCACTCCCGGCTTCTGGGATCATTTTTATCTTCCTTTCTTCCCTTAAAAGAAAAAAAAAAATCAGTCACATGGCTTTTAATTACCATTTAAATTTTGTCTTAAAGCAGGCACGTTACTATTTCCACCACTCAGTGTTTAAAGCTAGCCAGGTGTGAAGCCTTACTTAGCTAGGTCTGTGCATTAGTGGGTTGGGATGGCTCTGGTGGTCAGCAGCACATCCTGCCTCCTCCTCACATCTATAAAGGCCTGTCCTGGCCACCAGAAGCTCACCATGCTGATTTGACCTGAGTCCTCTAGACCTCTGTTTCCATTTTGACTTTATGATCCTTCCTCACGGTACTCCCTGTGCAAGGGTGGTGGTGGTGGCTCTCCTAGGAGCCCTTCCAGTGATAGCCCATCCCATGTGTCTTTGGTGAACTGGTGTCTGTGTCAGTTGCCTCTCAGGTTGAGCCCCAACCCCATCTCAGAACAAAGCCTACCTGAGGTCTGACCTGCTGGCATTGGGTGTAGGAGCAAGTAGAGGGCTGCTTGGCTCCTCTGGGCCAGGCCCCAGGTGCTGGCCTTGGCATCTCTGAACTGCACTGCACTCAGCCTCAAAGGCCAGGCTTGAGTAGTTGCCTGGCAAGAGCAGCCGAGACAGGACAGCTCCAGGCTGACCTTCTAAGTGCCGCCGAGACACACACACGGACAAAAAGCCGTTGCTCCTTCCCTGGCATTCAAATGTTGCTGGGGAAACATTCCCACGCTTATTTTTGTCTCTGGTTTTAGTCTGACTGTATTTGTTGGTTTCTGGTTTCTGTAATCTGTTACCTAAACGTGTTTGATTTTTAAATTTATTTTTTCTTTCTGAAAAAGAGACTTTTCATGGTTTCCTATTCTGCCTTTCTTCCGTATGCCTCCCAATGGGACGAACAGCCGAAATTAAAAAGATAGTAGCAGGTACGGCTCGCAGGAGTGCGCTGCAAGAGAAGCATGTGTGTGCGGCTCTGACCGTGTGGGAATGGCACCTTGGTGGCTCACTCTGCCCATGAGGGCTTTGGCATGGAGGCATGGAAGGCCTGGGGAGTGGCACCCCTCCAGGTGCAACACAGCCCCTGTGGGTCTCTGACACCAGCTCTCTGCCTCCTTTTATAAACTCTGTTCTCAGGGGACAACCAAATGGTGTCTCTGTAAGTAGATTAAGGCACACTACCTGAGCGAGTGGGTGGGGACTGCATGTACCTGCTGCTGTGAGTGTAGTCTGCATCCATACATCCCACTGTGTGATGATAACATGGGTGGTTTCTGCATACCTGGTCCTGGTAGATTCTGGCTGGGGAAAGCCTGTTACCATGCTGACTCACACCTGTCACAGTGGCTTCCAGCTGGACACAGCCTCTCTCCCTCCTCTTCAAAACCAATCCAAGGCTGCTTCACTAAGAACACTCAAGGCAGGGGCCTGCTCTTTTGGAGCCCTGCTCGTAAGGCTGGGGAGTGCCAACAGTGTGTGGGGGTGTGTCCTGTGGGTATGATGCTTTGAGCTTTATCACCTGAGAGGAGAAAGGAGCCCTGTACTTGGAGGCCTGGCCTTCTAGGCCAGCATCTAGACAACCTCAGTCACCGGCGGGAGTAGGGGCTGCTCCCTCCTCACTGAGGTCGATTGTGTCCTCCTCTCCCCTGTCCAACTAGCCTTTCTGTCCTCAAATTGACTGCTGAGGAGTTTGGGCAGGCCCTGGGTGTGTCCATGGGAAGTCATACTGGTGTCAGGGGAGCCCTGAAGTGTAGGCCCTGCATCTGGGGACCATCGCTTGGATGTTCATTGACACTATTCACAAAACGTTTTTAAGGTTGTTTGTTTGTTGGTTGTCTTATTTTTGAGACAGGGTCACACTCTATAGCTCTGCCTTGTCTAGAACTCACTGTGTAGACCAGGCTGGCCTCAGATTCATAGAGATCTGCCTGCCTCAGCCTATTGAGTGCTGGATTAAAGGCTTGTGCCACCATACCCAGCAGTGTTCTTAAGCTTTGACACCTGGTCCTAGCCCATCGTCTTTCAGAGACACCTAATTTCAAAATGTGAGTTACGAAAATTAATCCACTTTGGCTGCTTGGAGTGGATGACTGACCAGTGCTGGAGTGCTTATAGTGAAAAGCCAGCCAGCCCCTTGCTGCCCCTGTGGGTGGCCTGATAGCTGATGGGGGCACCATCTGGGCCATCCTGTAGGGCAAGGGCAAGACCCAGCAGGTCTGAACAGAAAGGCCTTCCTTCTGTGTGTTCTGCAGCTTGCCTCTGCCCCACTTGGTAGCTCCCTCCCTGATCCCACCCCAGGTCTGGCCATCAGGAGTGTGTCGGGTGGTGTGCTGTGGGCCGCCCAGGCTGGGCCTCATGCTCCACTTGAAATGAATGCTGCTTTCGTTAGATCTCATCTTGCAAGGAATGTTCTTTTTTAAAAAATATTTTTATTTTATGTGTGTGTGTGTACTGACTACATGTAAGTAAGTGCACCTGTGTCATGCAGTGACTGCGGAGGACAGAAGAGGCTGTTGGATCCCCTGGACTGGAGTTACGGACAGTTGTTAGCCATCATGTGGGTGCTGGGATTCGAACCCGGGTCTTCTGCGAGAACAGTAGTGTTCTTAACCATTGAGCCATCTCTCCAGCCCCGCAAGAAATTTTCTTAAAATACTGATTCTTTAAAAAGAATATAGGTTTGTTTTCTTACGTTAGTCCTGGAACAACTGACTGAGGTGGCAGGGGAGTCACCCAGCCAAGAACTATCACCAACTCTGCACACCCTCTACTTCTGGACAGGTGTTTTCAGCCAGCACTGGGGCAGGGGTCTGCCAGTGTTTCAGAACCACAGTAGGGGGCCAGTAAAAGGCTGGACGCTGCTGGCCAGGGAGGCCGCCCTGAGGGCCCAACCTGCTTAGGGCCCAGGCCTCTACCTTGGCTCGGTGCCTTACTGTGTTGAACACCAGTGGGACTGAGGTGATGGAGATGGGACTGGTATGGGCATGGCAGGGCTGACTCCCCATAGGAGCTGTTTCGTTGTCAGGCTGTCAGCACACACAGGTGTCTGGCAATTGGGTGGAGTGTCTGACCATGTGTGTTGTCTCCGCCAGAAGCTGGCAGGGCTGAGATGCTGGACCATGCCGTCCTGCTGCAGGTGATCAAAGAGCAGCAGGTGCAGCAGAAGCGCCTCCTGGACCAGCAGGAGAAGCTGTTGGCCGTGATCGAGGAGCAGCACAAGGAGATCCGTCAACAGCGACAGGAGGATGAGGAGGACAAGCTGGACAGACCTAGGCCTGGTAGGTGGAACCCGGTGGGGGTCTCGGGGTGTGGGGGGCGATCTGAGGCTCAGCGGCCTGAAGTCCTGGAGGGTGGGTTTCAGTCTTGATTAGCAAGTCCTAACTACTTACAGGTTGGTTCCTTTCAGTCCCTGCACCAGCAGCTTGTGTTCATTCCTGTGGCGAAACTCATGATCACCTTCATTTGCAGATGTGCAGCGGGAGCCTGGAATGGCTCTACCCAGAGGACAGGAAGAGGAAGCCCGGGATGAGCACGCCGGAGAGACAGTGGAAGGTGCGCCTTTGCAACCTGTGCTTGGAGCTCCTGGGAGTCACGCTGCTCCATCCCAAGAGGGGACCGTCAAGATGGGGCTGGGTAGAGCCCCCGCTGGCCCTCCTGCTGGTGGCTCTGACACAGAGCCCCAGGGAGTCGAGACTGAGCTGAGGGAAGACCAGAAGGCTGCTGCAGTAAAGGTGGCTGGTGCTGTACGGGAGCTGGGCCCCCAGGAACTTCCCAAGCCAGACCCTGCTGGGCTACTAAAAAGTCAGGAGAAGCACCTTGTAGAGGAAGTCCCCGGACAGAGCCAAGATGTCCCTGGTGGAGGTTCCCAAGAAAAGAAGAAAAGTGGAGAGGTGACAGCCACTGACACCCAGAAGGAGGCTGACCAGCCTTTGGCAGCGGCAGAGTCCAGGAACTCTCACACAAAGTCTAGGCAGTTGGGACCTGCCGGAGGCCCATCTACCAAGCCAGCAGGTATGGATTTACAGCCCCGGGCCATCTCTGACAAGGGCCAGGGTGCTCGCCCGGAGGTAAGAAAGGACGCCTCCAGAGAAGTTCAGAGACCTTCTGAAGAGCAGCAGAGAGTGAGGGAGGACGCCGCTCTCCAGGAACCTCAACAGAGGCCAGACCTGAACTCTGGGCCCAGGCTAGCTGTCCCTGGGGGTCGAAAGTCAGAGAATGCCAAACCCAACCGAGACCTCAAAGTACAGGCTGACTCTGACCTCCGGAGGAGACGTCGGGATCTCGCCTCTCAACTAGAAGGGGAGCCAGCTTCAAAGGATGGAGTCATCATCAGCTTCAACCCCCTGCCTGATGTCCAGGTGAACGATCTCCGCAGCGCCCTAGACACCCAGCTCCGTCAGGCTGCAGGGGGTGCATTGCAGGTGGTCCACAGCCGGCAGATTAAACAGTTGCCTGGAGATCTGGAGGAGGCCTGAGAACCTGCTCATGGGAAAGCAGCTGTCAGACACCGGAAGCAGCGGATCTCTGGCAGCAGTGACTGTGGAGATTGTGGTCTTAGGTTCCCAGGGACTGCTGTCTGTGGCCCTGAGGATTGTGAACGTCTGACCATCCCCACTGCCTACAGCCCTTGACAGACATTGTGTAGTGCTTGCTACTTACTGCTTGCTCTGCCCCAAGAGTAACTTGGGCCTTGAGCCAGTCCAGCAGGGGCAGCACTGTGGCACCTCTTTATGGGTCCGTGCCAACTCACCTGTCCCACCACGTTGAAGTCCACTGGCACTGCTGGTCGCCTGTGCTCTAATTCACATCCTCTGCTAGGATCTTGGTCTCACCCTGGCTTGACGTGTCCCAGGTTCTCCGTGATAATGGGGCACCTACAGTGGGTGTTGGAATCCCCTGCTGGGGGAGGCTTCGGAGAGGGTAGGGGCTGGGGGAGGGGGTGGGAGGCCCTCCTGCTTTCTGTCACCCACACTCTTTGAAGTCAATTATGAAACTGAAAAAAATAAAAAACACTGTAACCCCTGGTGAGTTGTTGGTCTGAGAGAGCTGCCTAAGGAAGGGTTCAGTCTGCAGTCAAGCAGGACCAGAGGTCATGGAAGGACATGCCCAACCAAGGCATCACTGGACTTGAATGCAGCCAGGAACCCAACAGGCAGCCTAACCCTCTAGGTCTTGCTATGGGACAGGATGCAGGCAAACCTCAGAGCTCTTCACCCGTGTCTGACATCTACATGGGCTCAAGCCCAGAGGGTAGGGCTGCCCCTCCGGTTGCCCTCTGTGCAGCCAGCAGAGCTGTGAGGGCCGCGGTCCCGGGAATCTAGACAAGAAAGCACAATTGTGCAGTCCCTGAGCAGAAAGGGGTGATGTTCTGTGTTTGTCACTCCAGGCCCAGGGAGGTACTTTCAAGATTCAGGGACAAAAGAGCCTGGCTCATCCTCCAGGAACCACCTCAGCCCTGCCACTAGGGGTCTCAGTGGGGTCACACAGGGGCCAGGCCACCACCCCAGTTTGCATGGGTTTTTTTGTTTGGTTGTTTTTTTTTTTTGTCTTTTCGAGACAGGGTCTCCCTGTAGCCCCAGCTGTCCTGAAACTCACTATGTAGACCAGGCTGGCCTTGAACTCACAAAGATCCGCCTGCCTCTGCCTCCTGAGTGCTGGGATTAAAGGTGTGCACCATCACGCCTGGCCTTTTTTTTCCCCTTTTTAAGACAGGGTCAACCACCACCCTGGATGGCATGAAATTCACTGTGTAGACCAGGCTGGCCTCGAACTCTTGAGATCTCTGCCTGCACCTGCCTGCCAAGTGCTGGGATTAAAGGCATGTGCTGCCACACCCAGCTAGGAATATTTATTACAATATTTATAAAAACATATTTTTCTGCCAGGCGTGGTGGCGCACGCCTTTAATCCCAGCACTCAGGAGGCACGGGCAGGCGGATCTCTGTGAGTTCAAGGCCAGCCTGGTCTACATAGAGAGTTCCAGGACAGCTGGGGCTACAGGGAGACCCTGTCTCAAAAAGACCAAAAAAAACAAAAAACATTTTTCTGCATATGGCGTATTGCCTGCATGTATGTAAGTGCACCTGTGTACTGCAGTGCCCACCATGAGAGGTGGCTCAGTGGTTAAGAGCACTGACTGCTCTTGCAGAAGACCCAGGTTCAGTTCCTAGCACCCACATGGTGGCTAACAACCCTCTGAAGCTCCAGTTCCAGGGGATTCAGCGCTCTCTTCTGACTTCATGGGCATTGTACAACACAGGTGCACTTACATACATGCAGGCAATACACTAATACACAAATTTTTTTTTAGAAACAGTGCAGGTTTCCACAGGCTCTGAATGCTGCTGACCCCTGGGAAGTGGGCAGAACTGGGTTTGGCTCAGAGGAGGGAAGTGGCAGCGACCAGGAGGTCTCCGGCTGCCATCCATCCTTCTTAATTGAACGTTCCAAATAAGCTAGTACTTGGTAAGATGCCATCTGGCCATCCCCAGGATGGGAGCTCATTTGCAACCTTGACTCTCCTGAATGCCTCCCCTTGACCTGTTTTCCTCCTCCCGAGGTCATTCCATTCTCCTCCCTGGTCTGCTGAGAGCCTCTGTCCCACAACAGGCAGAGCTGTCCCGCCCTCAACTCTTCCTCCTAGCCATCCCCTACCCCCTTCGGTCATCAGCCCTTCAGTTAAGGGCATTTCCTCTAGAAACAAGACCTCTGGGTGGGATTTGCTGAACTGCAAAGGGGCTAAGGGCAGACAGTATCTCCATGTGGGTCTGGTGACTCAGGCTGGGCCACCAGTGGGCCACCTAGCAATTCAGCTGCTGCCTTGGGTAGGTGTGGCATAAGGCCCATCCTGGTGCAGGATGCTGGGATATGGTGCCTCCCTGGGACAGTTCTACCAGAATAAGGAAACTTGAGGACAGTGCTACCAGGCCAGTGATGTGTGTTTCTGGGCAGAGGTGATAGCAGGATGTACACATATCGGGGGGAGGGGCTCAGCCCTCAAAGAAAAGATTTCATCTAGGGCCAAGCCATTTGCTATAGCTTAAAGTGGCCCCCCTAAAATGCTGGGGAAAATTTTAAGTGCCTGGATCACAAGTGCCCTCACTGGTGGGACCAAGACATTGTACTGCGTTCTGCCCAGTCAGCAGGAGGGCCCTCACAAACACTAACCTGTAACTTCGGGGCTTTCAGTCTGTGAGAAACACATCTGTATTCTCTGTAAATCCTCATCTCGAACTGACTGAGATGGCATGCTTTAGTGGTTCCATCACCGTGTGGGGTGGCAGCTGCAGAAACTACTGCAAGCGAGGAACTGCAGTCGAGACGAGGAGTCTGGGGGAGGCCCCAGGGCAGAGGCAGGCAGATCTCTGTGAGTTCGAGGCCAGCCTGGTCTACATAGTGAGTTCCAGGACAGCTGAAGCTACAGGGAGACCCTGTCTCAAAAAGACCAAAAAAATAAATAAAAATAAAAAATAAAACGATACTGAGTATGCAGAAGAGACAGACGAATTCCTGGGCAATCACTCATCCCATTACCTTGGCAGCAACAGGAGAGGCAAGGCTCTAGTGACTCAGTCCAGGATCACACCTGCATCTGGTCCCCTAAGAACTGACATTGCCCTGTCCGGTCAGACAGGATCTAGGTGCTCTGGGTGTCTGCACAGGGACTAGAAGTCATGTCCTAAGATAAGACTCACAGCATCTATCAGACAGTGGGTTTTCCAGCCCTGGGAACGATGCCAGTTCCATGGCTGTTAGATGCCATGTGGAAGCACAGATTTTGATTCAGAAGGTGCAGTGCACCAGGGTTCTGAGACAGGTGCAAACTGGTCCAAGGACACCATGACCTCCACACCCAGGAGGGATGGGACTGAGCAGTTCCCACAGTACCCAGCAGGTGGCACTCAGACTCGGGAACCATGCCCCCACTCCCAGCAGCACTGCCTTTCTCCCTGCACTACTTTGAATCTGTTTTTTGTTTTTATTTTAGCTCACAGTGTGACCCAGAGCAGCACCCAGAGGCTCTGATGTTGGGTGCTTTGGTCCAGAAAAGTCTCTGGTAATCCCCGGACAGCCACCTGTAGGGCATTCCTTACATTGCAGACTCCCCTGGTGTCACTGGTGTTTACCTTTGTTGTGTCTTGTGCATGGACAGTCAGATCCAGGGCCTGCTGTGTTAGATGGACGCTAAGTATTTTTGGTCATAATGGTTGCAAGTGAGGACCCTGTGGCAGAGCTCCACGATTCAGACCTACCACCTTTTTCCAGGGGCGGAAGGGTTGGGGGGCGGATTCACTGTCCCTGGGAGAGGCCAGGTCCTTATACAATGTTCTGTGTACAAAGAGTCTGAAACTGTTTAGGACTTAATAATCTTCACTGCTGGTTCAGTTACATCTTAATCTAATCCATATCCTTATACACACATTGCTGGTAAACAAAACCTCCTCCACCCAAGGTTCAACCAGAGAAGAAACACACTCAACCCCCAAGGGACTTCACTGCTCACAGACGTCTTTCAGCCCCCAAAGCACTCTGTGTGTGCCGTCAACACAAGACTCCTGAGTCACAGCCCTTCCTAGGAGGCGCCTTTCAGGGTCTTCCTGGCCTGAAAGTGAAAGAATTTTGTTTCAGACATACTTCCAAGTCAGACAGAGCTTAAAAGTAAGACGTCCACCACACCGAATGCCATTCTCCCATTATCTTAACTGGGGTGCTGGGGGTGGGGGTCGTCCCGCCTACTGTCGGTGACCTAATGATAAAGCCTGGTCCCTGTGACTAAGTGGAGGTTCTAGTAGGTGCTGCGCAGGGATGGGCAAGGGATCCTAATGAGATCGCTTCATCTGGTCCAAGCAAAGGTGTGTAAGGGAGATGGGAAAAGGTGTTGCTGGGCTGTGTAACCTCAAGGAAGGTTCAATCTCCCCAATACCGTGCCCTGTATAGGGAGGTCCTGAAACATCGGGAACCTGCTTCAGATCCACTGCATCCCTCTGGGTTCTTAACCAGAAATACTGCGATCATGATCCACCCGACCCGCTGAACCAGGGCACCCAGGGTGGAGGCTGCTGAACGCAACATTCCAGGATCCCACCCTAGACTCTCGTCACAGCCTCGTCCGCAGGTAACACCTCCTGGTCTTGATCTGGAATATGCACCATGAGGTGGAGCAAGTATGCAGAACAGAGGCTGTGGCGGGCCAGACTTGGCCCGGGACCAGCGGAAACGGAAAGGCACCCGGGACCGGTGTGACGCGCCCACCTACCGCAGCGGCGAAGCAGCTCCTCAGGGCCTCGAACTCGCGCGCACAGAGATTCTTCCTCAGGGAGCCTCCCGGGGCCGTGGCGGCCTGCACGCACCTGCCGTACGCCGTGGCCTGCGGGGGGAACGGGCGCGGTCGCGGGGCCTGGACGGAGCCGCCACCCTCCCTCCTTCCCGCAACGCCCCTGCCCCGCAGGCCCCGCCCCGCCCACGCCTCACCTCAGCCCCGCAGGCTGCCAGGCTCTCGGGGAAGCCGCGGAGACGGCTCCGCACGCGCCCCCAAACGGCTCCATTTGTGGACATGAGCGCCTCTTCCCGGGACACTGGGCGCCGCCATCTCGGGTCCGCCCACCTCCGGCGCCAAATGGTTGGCCAGTCGGCACTTCCGCCCGTAGTGCTTCCTGGTTGGTCAGGGGCGCCTGGCCCCTGCTCCTTCCATTGGTTTTCGTCCTTGTCGGTCTCTGACTAGGACTTTGGATTGGATCAGGCTCAAATTCTTTTCGAAGATGCCCTTTGGGCCCGCCTCCCGAGAGCGATTGGCCAGGAGAGCCAAGACCGCGTGGTGATTGGCGGGCCGAAGCCTGGCGGAAGCGGGGCAGGCCCGGAGGTGACCTGGACCATGGCGGCCGTGCCGCCTCTACGGGACCGCCTAAGCTTCCTGCACAGGGTGAGTGAGGCTCGCCAGGCTTCCGATGCCCGGTGTCCCGGGATCTCGTTGGGGAAGCGGGGACGGACGGTCCAGCAGCTGCTGACAAGGGGCGCGCCTGCTCCGATGGCGACGGGCGATCTCCCGGGGCCCTGGCAGCGCTGCCCGGGTCCATTTCAGGGGAAGGCCCGAGGTCCTGGAGACACCCGGCGGGAGAGGCAGGCATCAGCTGGAAGCCTGCAGTGCAGGCTATAGAGGGCGAAGGTTTGCCAGCTGTCGGCCGGAACAGATTGTGCAGACCTTTGACTGCCCTGAGCTTTCTGACCTGGAGCTCAAGGGCACTGGGTGGACACTGAGGATGCTCCGGACCTCGGAGCACCCGTATAGAGGCTGGGACGAATCTTAAGTACCAAACTGCCGCTACCAGGAGCCCCACCGATCCCTCCCTCCTGATCCCTTCAGGGCACGGTGAACAAATACTATGGTGAGGCTGATGAAGCACCTGGTGGGATCCACATACTTGTTTCAAATATCCTGAACCCTCCATCCTGCCCAGACATGGAATGATGGGAGAATAGTTTTTCCCAGCGTCTAACCGTATAAATACTTTACACTTGTAATAGTAGGTAAGCAAGTATCAAACAGGGCTGGGCTGATGCATGACTATAAAATTCAAGTTAGTCATTCTCAAGGAACCAAGGAGCCAGTCTGTGCTTGGGAGAATTTGCACCACACCCATCCAATATGTGGAAAGCGCTGAGCTTGCTGTTGCTAGTTGATAAGTGGATATATTAAAGATACCCTGGCACGGGGCTGGAGAGATGGCTCACTGGTTAAAAGCACTGGCTGTTCTTGTAGAAGACCTGGGTTTGAATCCCAGCACCCACATGGCAGCTAACAACTGTCTGTAACTCCAGTTCCAGGAGATCCGATGCCTTCTTATGTCCTCCACAGACACTGCAGGACACAGGTGCACTTACACACATGCAAGCATAACACTTAAACACATTAGAAAAAAAAATAAAAGATACCCTTACACATTTATGAGTGTCGTATGCTGGGGCCGCACCTCATCTTGACCTAGCTAGAGAGTCTTCTTGATATTCTTCCTCTCTGGGGCCACGTACCCCCACCTGTCCAGAATAGGCCCTCCTGCAGGCCCTTTGTGGCCAGGAGGATGATTCTGGTCCCCCTTGGGCTTTCTGGACCCATCTTAGCATCACTGAGCATGAAGTCTGCTTCTATTACTTTGGTGGCTGGGACCCCACGCTGTGTAAGGTGGCAGCTCACCATGGCCCTGCTTCCCCCCACAGCTCCCCGTTCTCTTGAAGGCAACCTCAGATGATGACATTCCATGTCCTGGCTACCTGTTTGAAGAGATTGCCAGTATCCTTCCTCAGTGCTCAGTGGGGTCAGGGGTAGACAGCAGGGACCCTGCTATAGCAGGAAGGGTGTGGGGGTGGGGGAGTTCTGCTATCCCAGGGGTACCAACAACTCCCATTCCCTAGTACCCAGATAGATGTAGGGGTGAGGGGCTGCATGAAAAGCTGTGATACTGACAACATAGTGCCCAGGATACCGTAAAATTCTCAGCATTCCTGAAACTAAGGCCTGCCTTCAGGGAGCCATGACATAGGAGGGCAAGTTTCTCGCAGCCAGTGAGTCCTGATGTGGTCTGTGTCAACTTGCTCCTTCCTTAAGCCAAATGTCTCCCAGAAATTTCCCACGAGTCACTGGGCAGCAGCCAGTGTCTGTTGGAGTACCTCCTGAACCGCCTGGATAGCAGTTCTGGCCATGTGAAGCTCAAGGTGAGTCCCTGAGCAGCAGCAGCAGCAGGCTAGGCCATGGCTAGGCTGGAGGGGAGGGGCACTGAGCCATCCTGACCATCTGGTACCAGGCCTGCCAGCCCATGAATCTGTCAATTCTCCAGGTGCTGAAGATCTTGCTTTACCTGTGTGGTCATGGCTCTTCCTCCTTCCTGCTCATCCTTAGACGAAACTCTGCCCTCATCCAGGAAGCCACAGGTGTGCCTAGGGGAAGCAGGGGGCTTCAGGTGGTGGGCTTGGGAGAGAGATGCCGACAGGTCTGGCCTTGCAAAGGTGAGAAAGGGAAATTCATTTGTGCTGGAGGCCTCCATTAAGGAGTGTCTGAGAAGCAGCCCTTACTCCTGAAAGGATGATTTTCTAGCACTGAAGCTTTTTAGCAGAGGCTGAGCCTGGAAATCAGAGGGGCTAGACCACATGGGGCTTTTCAAGCCCTGGTAGAGACCTCAGGTTTACCACCCAAGCTCTGGGAAGTCCTTGAAAGGTTCATGTACAGGTGGGGGAAGAGAATGGGCCCAAGGGAACAGTTAGGCAGGCAGGCACCAGCTCATGTGGGAGGCGAGGTAGGCTCTGTGGAGATGGGTGAGGGATTGTCACTGTGCATGGTCAAGGGTGAAGGTAAAGGTCTTCATAGGGTCTTGAGGAAGGGGCTGAAGAGCAGGGCTGGGAAGACTGGGCCTCAACACTTGCTCTTATGGGTGGTCAGCGGTGAGGTCAGCAGTGCCCATGCTCAGCCATATCCCCATCTGTTTTCTGCCCTGCAGCTTTTGCAGGACCACCGGACCCTCTTCATGGGAACAGCTTGTACCAGAAGGTGCGGGCGGCTGCCCAGGTGAGTCCAGGACAAGGTTACTACTCAGACCCAGAGTAGTAGTGAGTGCTTGTGCCAGGGTGCCTCTAGGATGTTTGCTGTTCTGCCACATGGGACCCCAGCTTTGCACCTTGCTATTGGACTACAGCCCCTGTGACTGGCTGGGCAGCTTAGGGGACGTATCTGAGACAGTGCAGAGCTGATGGGGTTGGGACGGGACAGCAGGCCCAAGTGGGGCCCTGAGCCACCTGTACCTGCTTCCTCACTCAGGACCTGGGCAGCACCTTGTTCTCGGATGCTGTGCTGCCACTGCCTCCCTCCCAGCCTCCTCAGGCCTTGCCTCCAGCAGGTACGCCACTCTGGTGGCCACTTTCAGTCTTTCATCAGAGGTTATCCCTCCCAGAGTGTCCTGGGCATCTGTGCTGGTGATGGGCTGGGAGGTGTCCTTCACTGACATCAGTATCCCCCACTAGGCATGGGTGCTCAGGCCAAACCTCACAGTGCTCTCCAAGGCTTTGGTTACACTCAGGAATGGGGCCAGACAGGTAAGGGAAAGGGCTCTCAGGGCTGCGGGTATAAAGGGGTCAGGCTGTGCTTCACGGGCCCCTCCGTTAGCCATCACCCTTCTCCCCTGCCTATACACTACCCTGTGTGGACTCACTTCTTCCTGGCTGTGTTCCCCCGATTGTTTCCTCCACCCAGGCGGGAGGAAGGCAGGTCAAGTCTGCTTTATGGACAGTGAGGCCAAGAGCTTAGGGTCCAGCAGTCTGTGTTGGGTTATTTGTACTCCTTGAGGGGCCTAGGTTAGTTGGTGGTCCCAGCCATGACAGGAACCTAGAGGAGTCATCTATGTGAGTTGTAACCGTGGGAATAGCACATAGAGGCACGTGTGTCATCAGGACACTTGCAGCCTGATACTGGAGGTCCACACAGCCTCATGTAGCAGGACCCAAGCGACCTCAGCTGTCGTCATGGCTGGGTGCTAAGCCATGCCCAGCTGTGTGCTCTTAGACCATTGCAGATGGGGGGCTCTGACAGATGCTTTAATCTGGGAGTTCCTTCTACAGTGAGTTCACAGGAAAGGATGCTTCGCCTGGCACTAGGCCACATTGTACCCCTTGAGTGAAGAGTGGGGACACCTACTGTGAACTCCCTTTGCCCTGCGCTGCTATGAGTGTCCAGGCCCCCACCATGCCTGAGCTTTACTGTAGCAAAATATGTTAAGAATCTTCCAGAAGGACTTTCACCAGGTACCTCTACCTGCACCCTATGTCTCCACCTCCCTATCCCTGAGCAGGGAACACCTGGCCCCATCCTGGAGAATGTGGCTGGAGATGGGCTGGGGAGCTGGGGTGCTGATACCACCCCTGCCTCTCCTGCTGATACTCCCTCCTCTGGTGTGCAGGTTCCGCAGGTGAAGTCTTCCTCTCCACAATCCAGAGGGCTGCAGAGGTGGTGGCTAATGCTGTGCGCCCCGGGCCTGAGAATCCCAGTACCCAGGGGCCCCTGCCACGAGGTGAAACCTACCAGCCTGCTGTGACACCTTCAGCCACACACACAGCCAACCCTGGGAACCTATTTCCTGGTGCCATCCTGCGTACCAGAGGTATGGCGGCAAGGGCTCTGTCCTTGGGGGTCTAGGTCACTCCTTCATGTCACTCGCTGGGAGTGGGTTGAGCTCTATGGGTGTGGAGACAAACGTTGATACTGCCTTGACCAGCAGGAGCCCCAGGCTCCCAAACTAGGCAGGAGGGACATGTGTACCTGAAATTTGTGGAGCTGCTGCCTAGGTAGCTGCCCTGTCTTCAGCTTAGGACAGACCCATGGACCAGGTCCCCAAGGAGGTACCTTAAGGCCTATCTGAAGCCTGAGGGCTTTATCTGCTATTCTCATCTCTTCCAGCTGTGAGACACCAGCCCGGGCAGGCTGGAGGGGGCTGGGACGAGCTGGACAGCAGTCTTAGTTCCCAGGATTCTTCCTATACCAGCAACCTAAGCAGGGCATCGGACTTGGGCAGTCGGTCTGGCAGTGACAGTCATTCGGGAGCCAGCCGGGAACCTGGCGAGCTGGCAGAAAGGTGTGTAGGACAGGTAGCCACTCTCCCAAAGGGCCTATCAGCAGGACCCATCCCTCAAGCGTCACCCCTGTATGGGAGTGGAGGGGTCACTGTCTTTCCCATCTACCTGAGACCCTGCTACCCTGACTTGGCTTTTTCCAGGACTGAAGCCATGGCCCCAAGCGACTGCCAGCAGGAGTTGGGTCTGGTGAAGACTGTGACTCAGGGGCCACGTGCCTTCCTGAGCCGTGAAGAGACCCAGCACTTCATCAAAGAGTGAGTCACCCTGGGGGAAGGAGTGAGGACTAGCCACGAGTGCCTCTATCCCTTCCATATGTCCCCTCCCTGTGCAGGTGTGGACTGCTCAACTGTGAGGTGGTGCTAGAGCTGCTCCTCCGCCAGCTGGTCGGGACCAGTGAGCATGAGCAGATGGTAAGGGTGAGAGTGAGCACGCTGTGCGTGTGCAAGGGAGCTGGTGCTGTTCCAGTGGGGCCCTGGGAACAAGTCTGTCACCTATGGGCAAGTGTCTGTTCCTCATCCAAGAACAGCAGGCCTCCCCTGTGGGCCTCACCACCTGGGTGAGGAGCCATGCAGGAGAGCTGACCTCCATTCTCCCCTGCTTCCTGCTCACAGAGGGCCCTGTGTGCCATCGCCTCCTTTGGGGGTGCCGACCTCCTGCCTCAGGAGCATGTCCTCCTCCTCTCCCGGCAGCAACTGCAGGAGCTCAGTGTGGGCAGCCCTGGACCTGTGACCAACAAGGCCACCAAGGTGGGCAGTGGGGCCCTGGGGACAGCAGTCTGTCTCTGCACCCCCAAGGTGGGCAGCGGGGCCCTGGGGACAACAGTCTGTCTCCACACTCCCAAGGTAGGCAGTGGTCCCCACCTGGCCCATGGTCAGCCCTTGCTGGACCATTTCCCAGAGTGCTGTCCAATAGGCAGTACCCACCTCCCCTGAGCTCTGCACTCTAGGTCCTTGGCCTCTTCTTCCTAGGCTTCAAGTCCATGCTGCTTCTGGCCTGACTCCCCACCCTGTGTCCTGCACACACTAACCTCCCCCAGGAGTCCTCCAGCCTATCTCAGCTTCAGGGGAGCAGACGTGTTTCTGTTTACCTCATCTGCGCCCCTAGACTCTTTCCTTACACTGCCCCTCCATCCTCCTGCCCCTCCATCCACCTGCCCCTCCATCCTCCTGTCCCTCCATCCACCTGCCCCTCCATCCTCCTGCCCCTCCATCCACCTGCCCCTCCATCCTCCTGCCCCTCCATCCACCTGCCCCTCCATCCTCCTGTCCCTCCATCCTCCTGCCCCTCCATCCACCTGCCCCTCCATCCACCTGCCCCTCCATCCTCCTGCCCCTCCATCTTCCTGGCAGCAACCCCAGCTTCTTGCCGCCTGCCTTCTCTGTGGCTGCCAAACATGCAGTTTCTCACTTGGCCCAGGCCACTCTGCTGTCAACCACCTGCTGTCTCAGCTGCTAACTCTGGGGTCACAGCACCCAGTGAGCCTGGGATGACATCACAGGAGCGTGTGTCCAGCACTTGGGGTGACCAGATATGTCAGGTGCTCTTGGTCTGCTCTGCTCCCTTGGTGCCCGGAAGGTTCTGAGAACTGGACTGCCCATCCGTCCACCTGTGTTGTGGTGATACGTCATAGGGTTCCAATATTTCCGCAGCAAGATGCCAGCAGCAGATGACAGTGGGACATCTGCCTGCACTTGTCCTGCCCTTGGGGCAGTGGAGTGAGGAGGGCGCTCAGAGTCAGGCCTCGTTCCCCACTGTTACGGCACTGAGCAGGACCCCTCACCCCTTCCTGTCTTCCTTCAGATCCTGAGACACTTTGAAGCCTCCTGTGGACAGCAGCTCCCTGCCCCAAGGGCCTGCACCCAAGCCAGCCCGGCAGCTGCCCTTGTGAGCCCATCTGACCTGCTCACCAGCCTTGTGCCAACCCCCAGGGGCCAGGTCTTCCTTCAGCCTCTGAGCTCCACCTCAGTTTTGTCTGGGAGCCCTATGCTTGCTCCATCCCTGGACCCCTATCCCCCTTCTGCCTTGGAGGATGCCAGTGAGGCCAAAAACCAATTAGCAGGTTCTAGTGAACAGGAGGCAGGACCAGAGCAGAGCCTGGGGAGCACAGACACCCCAGAGGGGGACTCAAGCAGGTGCCTGTGGAGTCCCAACTCCTTGTTTGCTGGCATGGAGCTGGTAGCCTGCCCTCGCCTGCCCTGCCCCGTCGCCCAGGTTCCCCAGCCAGGTTCACAGAAGGTGGCCACAGAGCCTCCAGCTTCAGAGCCATCAGTGTTTACATTTCTAAACATGTGACTGTGGGCCTGGCTTTACAGAGTCCCACAGTCCTCATCTGGAGGCTCTCAGAACTCTATGGCCTCCTGTTCCCATGTCCACCAAGGAGCCTTCTGATAGTTCTCCTGCCCCCTCCAGCCCCTCCCCTTCACCTACTGAGGCTCTTGTGGAGCAGGCTCCAAGCAGGTTGAGCCCCAGTGGGCCTCTCGGTGGTCAAGATGGTCGTGAGGGAGAGGCACTGGCCCTTAGTACAGATCAGCCAAGATGGAAGTGTGGAAAGAGGGTCAGCTGGTACCTCTGAAGACAACCGCACGGCCACTGCTTCTGGAGGCGTCAGCCCCTGACCGTGCCCCTGAGATGGTTGGGCGCCCCTCTTCATCTTGGTAGGACCCACACAGGCCTTCCTGAAGGTCTGTCCATGGCTGGAAACCCACCTGCAGAGGTTTCCTGCTTCATCCAGCACAACTGAAGGGCAGTGCTTCCCCAGGGCCCCTCAGCCCACACTGCTCTGTCTCCAGGAGGATTAACAGAAGCTAACCCAGGGCTACCTCAGTCCTTGTCCACACCCCCTCCTCCCTTTGCTGGGTGCTGGCATCGGTTACGTGGACTTGGATTCCTATAGCAGTGGACTGGCCGGTAGCAGGGCTGCAGAGTGCTGGTTCTGGGTACCCCGGGGTAAGCCCCGCCTGCCGGGCCCTCAAGTGAGCCTTCAGTGAGTGTGGGAAATATCTACTGGCTTCTTGGGATTTTGATCTTGGACCTTTCCTTCCTTTTTTGGGAAGATCATAATAGCCATGAGCCTTGGAGTAGAGCACCAGTACTGTGAAGGGGGTGCAAGGGACCTGATTTCCAGCTGCCTCAAGGCAAGTGGCCTGTGGCCGTTCCCAGTGTCAGGTCCCTGTAGGACCCTGCTCTTGGCTCAGTCTGCCATGGTTGTTTCCTGCTGACCATGGGAGATTCTGAGCAAACCTCCTTACCCATCTCAGAGGAACCTGTGAAGCTGTGACATGCACTTTCCCAGTAAACACCACTGTTTACACAGCCTGGGTCACTGTGGCTATTCTTCATTAACGGGCACACTGGAGGATCTCTTCCTAAGTGGGCCAGGTGATGTCCCTCTTAAATGTTTGGTACTGTTCAAACAGTACTGTCCTTGGCCTTACCTTGAAGAGCCAGGAAGATGTTCAGACTTGAAATTGTCACACTGCTCCAGGCTGGAGGCTGTATGTTCAAAGAGGCGTCTTCACAAGTCACAAATTGACAAACCTAAGATGATCCCCAAGGCTCAGCAAGGTGTTTTGATTGTGTTTCTGTGGTGCTTGGAGTCAAACCCAGGGCATTGTGCATGCTGGGCAAGTCCTGTACCACTCAGCTACTCGGGCCTCAACCAGATTTTCTATATGGTGATAAACTGGTACTAAACTTTACAGGAAAAGTCAAAGTGATCAGAACAGTCAAAGTAATTTTGGAAAAGAACTTAGTTTCAAGAATCCTTGCAGCTGCTACCGTGTGACTCTTCCTGGAGTCTTTCTATTCACCCTAAGCAGAGGGTCTTCTGTGGGTAACCGGTGGATCTGGTTTTAAGACAGTAATGCCATGCCCACAGGACAGAATTTGCCACAGTTGTGCTGATCATGACTATGGTATTGGTGAGACTGGACACACAAAGACAAATCCACACAGCACTGTCCCTGTTCTGGAAACCTGGGGTGTTGGATGTGCTGGCAAACTCTGAGCTGCACCCCCACCCTGGAGTGGTGGCGCATGCTTATAGTCCCAGCACTCGGGAGGCAGAGGCAGGTGGATCTCTGTGAGTTCAAGGCCAACCTGGTCTACATAGTGAGTTCCAGGCCAGCTGGGGCTACAGGGAGACACTGCCTCAAAAGGGCAAAAAAAAAAAGTAAAAACTGTCATAGTTAAAGGAACGAAACACGAACCAAAGACCAGGAGAAAAGTGCCTTCCGGTCCCACGTCTCATGAAGACTGATGTGAAAACCTTGTAAAGAGCACACAAGGACCAGCGAGATTGGCTCAGCTGGTAAAGGTGTTTGCCACCAAGCCTGCCTGACGACCAGAGTTCCATCCCAGAGATCTACATGGTGAAAGGAGAGACCTGACTCCCAAATGTTACCTCTGACCACGTGTACCATGCATGGGTATACCCACACATATACACACAAAGTGTTTTGTTTTTTCTTTAAAAAAAAAAAATTCAGCCGGGCATGGTGATGCATGCACTCTGCCTCCAGTGCTGGGAGGCAGAGGCAGGCAGGTCTCTGAGATGGAGGCCAGTCTGGTCTACATAGTGAGTTCTGGACCAGCTGGGACTACCAGAGACCCTGTTGAAAAAAGACAGAAAAACCCCTAGAAGACTACAAAGATCTGAATGGACTTGTCACGAAGGCGGATAAGTAAATACGTGGCCCATAAGCACACAAATAGATTTTCAACACCATGAGCGAGTAGGGAGGTGCAACTTAGCTATCTGGCTTAGCCAGCCACCCACCGATTAGTGCGACTGAAAGAACAAAAGGCCCTGACAATTCCAGGAGCCTAGGGGACAGGCAGCAACTGGAACTTCAGTGGGCTGGCAGTGTGACACAGCTACTGTGGAAAACTGGCTATTTCTTCTATGCATAGATCCACTCACTGATCGCTGTCCTCCGTATTTACAGACAAGTGAAAACCCGTGTGCACAAAAGCAAGCGGGTAGGCAGGTGTCCTGATGGCTTCCTTCGAAGTTGCTCAAAGCCGGGACACTCACAGGGGTCAGTCTCGAGATAAGGTAACATGTTGGCCCACAGCCTGGAGCACCAAGCAAAGAACCAGCAGGATGCATCCCAGAACTGGTGGGAGACACGGACCCAAGGGTGGACAGGTTGTAGTGCCTGACATTCTGCAAGAAGTAAAGCAGAAGGTACCAGCCAGCCAGTGCCCACAGTGAGGTGGTTACACAACCACTACATCAAGGTTGTGAATTTTATTATCTATGAATCAAACCTTTCCATTAACCAGGCATGGGAGGCACTTGTCTGTAATTCCAGCACTTGGGAGGTGGAGGCAAGAGGACCAGGAGTTCAGGATCATCCTCAGCTACATAGTAAGTTTCAGGCCAGCCTGTGCTACAAGGAGCCTCTCGCAAAACAAAATAAAAAAAGGACCAAGGCTCAGTGGCACAGCGCAGTAAAGCCCTGGGTTCCATCCCAGGCTGCACACACAAATGAATAAATACACACGTACAATTTTTAAAACCACTTTTTTTTTTTTTTTTTTAATCTTTTTGAGACAGGGTCGCCCTGTAGCCCCAGCTGTCCTGGAACTCACTATGTAGACCAGGCTGGCCTCGAACTCACAGAGATCCGCCTGCCTCTGCCTCCCGAGTGCTGGGACTAAAGGCGTGCGCCACCACGCCCGGCTAACCATTTGAGTTTTTTTTTTTTTAAGTTATTTACTGTAACTTTCGTTGCAGTGGGCATCTGAGCTTGACCGTCCAGGGCTTCTGGGTAGAGAGAGAACCCGAGGCTGGACACCGCACGTGAGTGCACACACTCAGGGAACTTGACAAGCCTTTTTAGAAAAGAGGAACGAATGGGAAGGCGTGGCGCAGACGCCGCCGCGTGGTCCTGCCAGGCCTGGGAGAGGGCGCGCGGGACAGTGGGGATCCCAGGACCGCTGGAGCCGCTAGAGCCAGAGCGAGGCCCACAGGCTCCACCCACGAACAGGCCCCGCCCCCCGAGGCACCGCCCCTCACCTCCTCCAATCGCTAACGCGCCGCCGCCGCCGCGGTCCCAGCCTCGGTTGCTCCTCCCACTCTGGAACTTGCGGAAGGACAGCCGAGCAGCCCAATGAGCTTCCCCGCAGCCAGAGCGGCTGGCCGGGGAGCCAATCCGAGGGCGGCGTGCTCAGGAAAGGCGGGCCGGCGTGACGGACAGCGGAGGAGGCGCGGGACTGGTTGCTAGCCGCCGGCTCTCCGGCTCGACCGTGCTTCATTGTTGCCCACCGCCCAGGCCGCGCCAGGCCCGGGGGTCCAGGTCGGTCCTGCTGCTTCAACATCCGCGCCCGCCAAGCCGCGTCCCCGGGCCCCCGCCCCAGGCCCGGCCCACGCAGGTGAGGGGCGTCGCTCGGTGAGGGAGCCGGGGCCCTGCAGGCGAGGAGGCGGGTGTCCTGGGGTTGGTTCCCCGCTGGACGCCCCAGACACCCGGGGGATGCGGGGGCCACGCGCAGCGCCAGGGCCCTGCCTCTGCGCGTCTGGGTCAGCCTGCCCCTGAGGACCTGGGTCCCCTTCGGGTCCGGAGAGCGACCCATTTCATCCAGAGTGAGGCTGGTCTCCCTGGCCTCTCCGGATCTGGCCTGGAGGTTTCCATGGAGAGGTTGTGTTTACCTCCCAGAGCCTCGCTGGCTGGCTTGCACGCACGTGGGGCTGGGAAAGCCGCGTCCACGAGCCCCGGGGCCAGCTAGAGTCCACCGGGCGTGGCACTAAGGGAAGGTGTTAGGTGTCACCCGTACAGCCAGAAATGCATAACTGGGCACTGACCAGACTAATGGCAGGGCAGCCTCAGAGAGTAGGGCCACCACCCCCTGCCCATCAGGCCCCGATGGCAGCACCAAGGCAGCATCACCTTGGACTGTGGTGGGTGTGTGCCGTTGGTGTCCTGGACTCCTGGTCTAGGAGACGGTAGTCACCTAACATTTGTCTTGGGTCAGCAGCACCCACCATCTCATTGCATTCCACATGCCAAGGGCTATGGTCCCTGCGCTCTTAAGGGTGCCTGTAATAAGACAGAAGACTGAGGAAGGAAAAGTAGCAAGCAGTGGGGAAACTGGGGGGCTCAGGTGCAGGGGATGCACTGCCTGTGTTCGGGGAACAGCAGGAGGGCCGCCGCTTTGGCGAAAGCAAAATGAAGTGGTTGCAGAGAACAGGATCAGAGCTCTGTGTGTTAAGTACTTGGACTTTATTCTGATGCCTTGAGAAGCCATTTCCCTGGGATGCCATGTGAGCTCAGAGTGGTTCAGAAAGATTCAAGGTGAGGATGAACCCTTGCCAGTCACGGACTGGCCAGACAGGGCTCTTACAGTGGTGCAAAGCAGGAGCCAGGATTGTACTGTGGAGGAGACCAAAGATAGCCCCCGGCTGAGAGGTGGGTGGAGGACAGAGTCTGGGCCTGATCCTAGGGGACCTCAGACTCTCAGGGGTGAGAAGAAGAGCCAGCAAGGGAGACTAAGGGTTCCCTGCAAGGATGGTGGCATGTCCTACTAGAGTGACTTGAAGCTGTTGAGGGCCCTCCAGGTGCCAACTTCAAAGTCACAGCTGAACCTCAGGATAGCCCCATGAAGAACTTTTTTTTATAAATTACTTTTTTTAAAATTTATTTTTACTTTATGTGTATACGTGTATTGCCTGCATGTAGGTAAGTGCATCCGTGTGTGTCGTGCAGTGCCTGCAGAGGTCAGAAGAGGCTGTTGGATCCCCTCTGGGACTGGAGTTACTGACAGTTGTTAGCTGCCATGTGGGTGCTGAGATTCAAACACGGGTCTTCTGCAAGAACAACCAGTGCTCTTAACCACTGAGCCATCTCTCCAGCCCCAAGAAGAACTTTTTAAATCTCCATTTTGCAAAGAAGAGTGGCCCAGACAAGCAGAGTGCCCTGATCAGGGTCAAGGACTTGGTGGTAAGTGGCAGGGCCAGGCTCCTGCTCACCACTGCTTGCTGCCCAGGTCACCCTCTGGGATTGTTGGCCTGTGCCCACAAGGCTCTGCCTCGGCTGCCCACCCACTCCCCATTCAGAGCCCAGAGTAGTTTAGAGCAACCTTCTAGAGAACTTAGTGACAGGTAGACCCAGATTTCCAGTGCTGGCTGAGGTGATCAGTACAAAGGCCAAGATTCCTCCATGGTGTGTGGGCAGTTGTGAGCTGCCTAGTGTGGGTGCTGGGAACTGAACTCCAGTCCTCTGGAAGGGCAGCAAGTACTCTTGACCACTCAGCCATCTCTCAGCCCCAGCTCCCCCTTTTTTTGAAGAGGTCTCATGTAGCCCAAGCAGGCCTTGAATTGAACTCACTATGTAGCTGAGGATGTCCTTGAACTCCTGATCCTCCTGCCTACATCTCATGATTATTAGGATTACAGGCATGCACTACCACACTTGGCTTTATGTGGTGCTGAGGCTCAAACCCAGGGCTTTGTGCAAGCACTCTACCAACTGAGCTACATCCCTAGCCTCCACCGTGGTGTCTTACTGTGTCTCTTTTCCCTCTCAGGGCCAGCCTGGTCTACCATGAGAGGTTCAAGGACCACCAGCAATGCCGAGGGCAGCCCAGAAGATAGAGACCTGAGTCTGATCGGCCTCCCACCACCCATGTCCTGGCGCCCCAGCAGTGCCTCCTCTAACAGGCCCATTATGCGCTCCATCTCCGTGGCCACAGGCAGTGAGCCGAGGAAGAAGATGCTGGTAAGTGTGGTGCCAGGGCCCTCCGCACCAGAGGGTTGTCTTTGGGGTGGCACCTGCCTTTGGGTACAGTTGCTTACAAGAGCACATGTCTCACATTTATGGTCATCCCGTGGATAGATAGGATCTGGGCCTCACAGACCTGGCAGGCGACCTACAAAGAGAGCAAGGCTGGCTGGCTTTGTGCAAGCACTCTACCAACTGTGGCAGACCCTGTTCATCTAGTATCAGGCCCTGTCCCTCCTGCTCCACTATCTTTTTATCTGTTTGGATCCTCAAGTAGCGTGGACCTGCAGGAGGGTGGCAAGCTCCTGTGGCCTTGTGGAAACCTGGCGGGCAGCAGGTGGGCAGCTGCTTCGGGGCTATGGCTGCCTTTCCTTCCTTGGCCTACCTTTGTGGGGCATAGTTAGGGATGTCACTTGTAGATCCGTGAGGCGACTGTGAGAAGCCAGGCTAGACTGTTGCAACCCTGAGCTGCTGTGTGCTAGTCATTCTGTAAGAGAAGAGTCTAGTGCTTTGGGGTGCAGGGCTGTGCCTGAGTCTTGCCTGAGTTTCTAGAACAGGGAGGTTCTAGGGGTGTGGTTTGGATGCTACAGCTGGTCTGTGGTTTCCACCTGAGACGCAGGTCTGCTAGTGTTGAAAGGGTGGTCAATGGTCTAGGCTTTCTTGGTAGATCTAGGCTGAGGTCCCCTCTGGATAAAAGGCTCACCCTTACCTTCTTCTTGAAAGAGCCATTCCTATGTAAGGTGGGGTGTGCCTACAGTGTCCAAGCTGAGTTCTGAGATAGGGATAGCTGTCCATAAAGGACACCTGGTACAGGCAAGTTCCTGCAGGGGAGCAAGCGCCTGGGATGTCAAACCAGGTCATCTACAACAGACATGATCTTAAGATACACTGAGCTGCCTTAGCAGAATGGCCAGCTCAGGCAAGTGTGGCCCTTGACCCTACTGTCCTTGGTGGCCCCAGACTCAGTTCTTCCCCTTCCCTCTTGTCTGGATCCTCCTGCTGCCCTGAAGCCCTAGGAATGTTGGGAGGGGTGGACCACTGCAGATCCACCACAGTGTGGAGACACTGTTTATAGTTGAAGACCCCCACCGCACTGTGTGGCTGCCTCTGTGGCTACCTGGGCCAGAGCTGCTCCTCCTGGGCCTCCTGCTGGAGAGCTGTCTGCTCTGCACACAGGAGCAAGCACTGATCCCACTGTACCATCTTCCCCCGTGATAGCGTTGTGTGACTCAATCTTAGGTGGAGAAGCTATCAGGTCCCCTCTTTGGGGAATGCTCCAGCAGTTAACGTCATCTCTGTAGGTCGCTCACCTCCTCTGGTAACTTCCTCTTGGACCTATGCAAGGTGGGGCCTTTATGTCCCCACATATCCCCCTTTTTATTTTTACTTTAGGGCCGGACTGACTTTATTTCACGGGTTACCCACCTCATAGGCAGCTCCCTGAGGAGAGATGACTATCTCCTTCCTCTCATCTTATGCATTTTTGCCTGTCTTAGGTTGTGTCACCTCTGATCAAGCCTTGCCCATCATTGGACCATGCACCGGGCCATGTGCATGTCCTGTCTTAGGAATGCTTGTCATGGGACATCTTACCCGTCCTTGGCTAAAAATGTGTCATGATTAAGGGCAGCCATGTGGATAATGCCAGCCTGTGACAGTCTCAGTCTCTGCCTAACTCGGTTAGCCAAGCGTGGGCAACCGGAGGGGGTCCCGGGGGAGTCCGTAATCATGAGGAGGTGGGCTGTGG